GCATGTAGGGTGGTGGACACATCTTCGTGGCAGTTCTCATACGTTTTCTGGGACAGACACGGAATATTCATATGCCCACAGAGTTCCTCCAAAAGACTGTATCCACCTCCAGCGGAGAGAACGCCTAGTACTGCTGCTTTATTGACATTTGATTCCTGTTCAGAAAAAATTTCATCTACTTTATTGCACATTTTGCATTTGAATTTGAAAACGCTTCTGAACCCGAATCTTCTCTCATTTAGAAATTCCATCTCCCTCCATGAACATTTGAAAGGAGAATGACTTTCCAGAGTTATAATTTGACTAAAAAGAAACCCAATATCCACTATACGTCTTCCCTCTAATGAGTTACTGGCAGTTTTTGAGCCTTGCAAATGTTCAATTTCTACATCGGATACGGAATTTAACTGATGTGCTTGCAGGTCTTTGGTTGGTGTCATTCTGTAGATATTATTATTTAACGTTAATTATAAAAAATTGTAACGTATTATCTATTTGCAACGCACATAACAGGAGTGGGCATGTGACTGCAAGATGGTTCCTCTGGTGCAAATCCTACATTTTTTTGTTCTTTCGTTGATGCAAACCTATAATATTTACTGTTAAATGGTTTAAACAGTTTATTATGTAATTATTAGACGTATAAATACATAAGGGCAGACGCATTTCCTGTAGATGCTGCTTCTTCTGTGCCTTCACAGTGGTTGATATCTTCTTGACGTACTTTTTTAGGCCTTCTAACGCTGTGAATATATACATACAGTTCTACGTAATTAATTTTATATACACTCCTATCACATTTAACCGTAAAAATTCAAAATCAAAAAAATATGATCATCATTAGTTTAACGTCATAAAGCTTGGTGATTTGGTGGATAAACATATATATTACTTATCATTAGATAAGTTTAGTTTGGTAAGTTATAGACACAAATTGAATACTATCGACTAATTACAGACTGAAGAGTAGTCCTAGAGAAAAATAAACAGCACTGACTNTCACTACTCGTATCAGAATCTTCACAAGAATCTTCAGCGTTGGCATAAGTTTCTCGTGGTATACCTGCAGTCGTTGATACTTCATCGCATACTCGCAGGCTTTAAGAAGTTGGTCTGGAAGAGGTTCGTTATTTTTCTCGTTTGCTTTATCTAAATGTTTTTGATTTTATGTCTGCATAATTCTAGATTATTTGATTGTAAAACTGTTCTAATTCTTTAGTTCGACTCGTTATGTATTCTGGTGGTTAATTGAATTCAGGTATTTCATTTTCTGTGAGGTTCTTATAAGGACCATAAATAATTTCGAATGGTTTTAGTTTGGTTGTTAGTTGTATCGAATTATTGTACACAAAAACTACTTCTAATTCTAAATTTGGAGTTGTTTCTTCAGGATTAGTGATTTTAAGGGGTATTACTTTTTGCTTAATGGTTCCATGTACACGTTCTAGAGGAGCTATTCCTATAGGATTATTGACACTTATGACATGCAAATTTATATGGTACAAACGACAAAAATCTCTTAAATGAATTATTGAATTCAGTTCCTTCGTCTACAATGAGCTTTCTTGGTAAATGATGATGATTGATAAATTGTCTTATTTTATTTATGTAAGTTGTCATATTTCCGTCGTTTAAATGGTATGTTTGCGTGTATTTTGAAAAATGATCGAAAAAGGTGAGAAATTTTTGATTATCTAAAGTGAAAGTGTCTAACATATTGATTTCAAACGGACGACTAGACACAAGGGTGACTTATAACGATTACACTCATATTTAGCTTGTAAACAGATACCATTATGATTTGCATCGTGATATTTCGCAACTTCATTTAAAGCGTTTTCTAAAGATAAAGTAAGAGGATTATTTGTAGTTTTAATGATTTTGATTTGTTTATTTTTCTTATGACAATGATCATAAAATATTTTAAATATCTGTTACTGAAAATTTTCAGTGTATTTAAGATTAAAATAAATTCCTACTTGATTACCTATTTTTCCTTTTATTTCATTATTTAATTTAGTTCCTAACCAAGAAAGATCATTTTGATTAGCCGAAATATTAATTATAAGTTTACTTCCTTTAGTAATTAATTTAGTCTAGCAGTTCCAAGTTGAAATCATTTAGAAACTCATCTACTTCTTCAGATATTAAATCAGATCGATTCTATTAAAAAGTGAGTCAAGGTCTAAATTTTCGAAATCATCTTTCGCATTAATTTCTCCTCGAGACAGAGCATCAACGACGGATTTTTTTTACCTTTAATATGTTTGATATCGAAATCATATTCTTGTAACTTAATTTTCAAACGGCAGAGTCGTCGGTTCTGTGGTTCTGTAAGGGAATGTATCCACACAAGAGGTTGATGATCCGTTTGTAATATGAATTTCCTGCCAAATATATATGAGCGAAAGTGCTAACATAAATCTTCTATTAAGGGTCCTACTATAAAATGCGATAGGGTGTTTATCTTGCGATAAAACTGAACTGATTGCTTTGTCTGAAGCAATGGTAAACATTTTAGAGAAGTCAAGGTAGGCTTAAATAGGGGTTGGTTACCACTTCTTTAATTTGTTTAACTGCATTTATATAACGTGGGGATTGATACTCAATTTTTGAATTTTTCTTGAGACAACGAGTAAGAGTAACAACTCTTGCATCATTTTTAATAAATTTGCGATAATAGCCTGACAAGCCAAGAAATGAACGTAAAGTTTTTATGTTGCGTGGTATCGGAAAATATTTGATAGCGTTAATTTTGTCGGGGTTTGGACGAATGCCTTCAGTGGAAATTATGTGTCCAAGAAAAGGTACTTCTTTACAAAGAAAACTTTACAAAAGGGAAACTTTTAAACTGACGGACTTTAATGTTTCAAAGACAAGTCGTAGATGGGTGACATATTCCTGAAGGGATTTACTGACGCGCCCTTTTCGAAGATTAATTATTACTGGTCCCGCATAATCAAGCCCACAATTATAAAAGGATGGCGTAGGTGATAAAACGATATTTTAGCAGAGCACCCATCGGCCAGAATGTCACGCGTAGCAGGGCTAGCAAATGATTTGCATTATCATTATCATCATAGGGTCGTCAGTCCTAAGACTGGTAGGACACGTACCTCCACTATTTCCTATCCTGAGCTAAACTTCGCATTTCTCTAAAACTAGAACAGCCCACATCCAGCATTCGTCCAAACCCCGACATAATTAACGTTATCAAATATTTTCCGATACCACACAACATAATGATGATAAAAGATGACTTGGGGGAAGAATTATCCGGTTTCTTTTATTGTAATTAAAATCATAGTGTTGGATACGACCACCAACTCTACTAATAGTATTTTGATCTAATACAGGAATTAATGACAGCAATTTACTTTTACTGAACNCCTAAATATGTGTCAAAGATCATCAACGTCCACGTAAAACTAATTTTTCCACCCCTCAGGAACAGTATTGCTCTTCTGGATCAAATATACCCTAAAATGTCTATCCTGTACTCCTGACAATGATGATTTATTGAGTTGTTAAGGCGTGAAGTCGTAATAACCAAACAGACAGTCCAACATTTGCATATATATATATAATATTGACACCACAAAATTCTTAAGCTATAACCTATTCCTACACGACAAAATTACTGAAATAACTGCTGCTAAAGTTTAGAATTCCTGTTTTTGCTAGATATTAGAGAATGTATACTCTACAGACGAGGTAGAAAAGTCCAATTACGTTAAAAGATTTTGAAAGAAACTTACCGCGTCATGTCGTACACACTCCTCCGAGTTTTTTCAAATTTAACCTTCATTATGTTACGTCTTTTTTTTTTTGGGAGCGTTTAAGACATTATCGAATTAAATTTAAATAAACATTTAATTTTTAATTGTCCACACAAGGGGCTATTGTGTTTATTATCAGTTGAAAGCCTGAAGTACCTAGATTGGTATAGATTAGCAGGTAAACCTTCGCCACTGTTACAAATTGTTTCTTATCAACAGATAACATGAAGACCATTGCAACGTTACTTTTAGGTAAGGCAGTTACTTTATTTTTTATTTTTGTTTCTTGTACCTAGCGAAACTGCAACGACAATAATTTTCCTCTATTTTACTCAAGTCGCTCCATCCTGAAGCTGCGGGGAAGCCCAGAATTGTGCTAGATGTTCGCCGGGTGGGAGAGTTGTTTCTGGCGTTAACATGAACACCGACGCTCTAGTGCTTTTCACAAATCAATGTTACATGGACCGATACAAGTGTTTCACTGGAAACGGTGAGTAGTTAAATGAAAACAAGCTAAAGGGAATATGCGGAAGGAATGTGCTTTGAAGAGTAAGCAAGAAATGAAATACTATCTCTTTAGAATATTTTTCTGCAATGACAACACTAAAGTGAAATCTCAATATTTTTTGCAGACCATCGATTCGTCAGATATGATGATTGTCCAGGTAAGTCGGAATGCAAACTGTGCGACTTCTCTAAAAACAATAAAAACTGAAACATTAGCCCAAATTACTGTAATAATTTTGATTCCTTCATTTTACAGATCTTAAATCCCTAAGTAAAGGCGAAACAGAATCCTTAGACCAAACCAAGGCACAATAAATTTATTGCCTACACATGTAATACTAAAAATACCTACTTGGTTATTCAATTTTCTTTATAATAATAAAATGTTCATGTTTTTCATTGTTTTCTTTTCAACACGTGTTTAATGAAAAATCTGGATACCCTTAGTGTTTCTCTGCAATTTAAAATAAAATGATGTCAAATGAATGATTATATTTTAATAAAACTTCGATAAAGTGTCCAAAACTGTTTGCTGACTCGGCTATACTGCTGTTTTTTTTCTATCTTGTTTTGCTACTTGAGATGGGAGTGCATTTTTAATTAACGCTTTTGATGATGTCATTGTTCTAGAGAAATATATTACGTTTCTTACACAGCTTCTATAGCTGTTTTCGCTGTTTAGTTCCTTGCAAGACAAATAATTAGAGTCAGTTTTAAAGCACGCAGTAATTGTCTTCTGCAAGAGTACAAATACTCTGAAAATCCCAAGAATACTTTTTGTGCGATGTGCTTTTGATAAATCTTCAATAGATCGTGAGATGGATGGTTTACCATCACTGCTACACCCATGCTGAAAGTCGTATGTCAGAGGTTGGCCACAATACTGTTTGTTTGCTCCGTGTTGCTGTGTTAAAGTCGTCGTTGCTTATACAATCATCACTCTCGATTGTATCCGAACTCTCTTTATCGTTGATTATTACGAAGGGAGTCCGTACAGACGTTTCGGCTTATCTATTTCAAACTGCAGTCGCCTCTAATTAATTGTTTGGCGCACACTTTTGGGACAATATATTGGCACAATTGTGGCGGAGGCACCCGGTTTCCAGTTAATTGAACAGACTCGATTTAGTCAACGTGATTGACTCGCAAACACCCTGTAAACTGTGTTATTAGATGTCAATCGCTCAATCGGAGCCGCTTCCATTCACCAACCTTAATCCCAGATTCCATTAATTTCGGTCAATGGCATTTACCTACTGTAGATGTTAAATGCACATAGATGAATATGAACCAGGTATTCAGATGTTACTTTCAGTGAATATCAGAAATAATTAAATCACTAGCAATTTGTGGATATTTATTTACTAGGCTAACTAGTGAATCAAAAATACTGATTAAGTCAGTGAAGGGTTAATACGTCTGTACATTCCCGAAAAGTGGCACGTAAGAACCAAGGTAATCGTAAATTACCAGGTCTTGAAATATGGCAGGGACTTTCGTTGTGGCTTTCGTATTTGTGTGTGCAGGTAAAGATGTTAAAATAAAATTCTCGATTAATTTGAACCCTGCAATACCTACACGAATTCCTTAGTGATCCTTCAGGGTTTGTTTATTATTCTCTACTATTGTTTATTAGAGTCTGTCCCACCTGCATCAATTTCGACGGAATATTATAAGCAGTTTCATGCTCTGGATACTGTAGCAAAGAACAAGGTCAACCCTATTACGGTAGTGGTCCTCAAGTATTATCTGGATTCTCTATTAAACGCACCTTACACAATATCGGAAACATTACAGACATTTGTTGAGGATAATATGGAAGAGTACATAGAACCCGCTGTTGGTGAGATATGCGATATGTGGATGGATTTTGCAATAGAAAACCTGGAACAATCGGATTTAAACGAATCGGACGAGGAAATGAAAAGGGAACAGATTGAAGAGTTTTTTGACGAGTTGAGGTCAGATTTCGAAATAATGACCACCTTGTGGTTCGCCTACCTTCAAAACACCGGAGCAATCTACGACAAAAACTACTAAAAAATAGATGTATTTTTTGTGTTGTTAATAATTGAAAATAAAAGTTCCCACTTCCAATTAGAACATTTTCTAATGTTAACAACTCATGCATCAGCTAGAACTGTTACATATACGAATTTGTTCCAATTCATGTATAAGGAGTGATGTGTCTTAGTTTTCAATTAACCGAAACTTTAAGAAGGAACAATAACGTATTAATAATAGGCTTTCGATGTTTAAATTGCACAGGTTGAAGTCGTGTATGTTGTGTATTTATTTTATGTATCCATATGACAATAGCAACTGAGAAATTTCATTCGAACTTTGAAGTTTCGTCGCGAACGAATAACAAAAGACATTCTGTCTGAACTTGAAATTGAACAAACGCGTTCGCTGTCATACAAAAATACTATTTGGTACCTACTTACTATAAAAATTCGAAGTGAATGTACCTACAAACTAGGTACGGGCATAAGATCATCAACGACTGCATTGTTTTTCTGGATAAAAAGTACCCTAATATGTCCTTCCTGTACCCCTGAAAATGACACTGTTTGAGTAGTTAAGGCGTAAATTCGTTTTAAACAAACTATCTCACATTTACATTTATAATATTAGTTAGGATTATTGACATCACAAAATTCCTAAACTATAACCTACTCCTACACGACAAAACTGCTGAAATAATTGCTGCGGAAGATTTGAATTCCTGTTTTTGCTATATGATAGAGAGTGTAGCCTCCTCTACAGACAAGATAAAAATGTCCAATTGCGTCAAAAGATTTTGAAAAAAAGTTTCCGTGTCACATGTCCTACACGCTCGTCCGAGTGTTTTCAAATTTAACTTTCGTTATGTAACTGACAACGTCTTTTTTCTTTTGGGAGCGTTTAAGATATTATCGAATTAAATTTAAATAAACATTTAATTTTTAATTGTCCAGACAAGGGGCTATCGTATTTATTATCAGTTGAAAGCCTGAAGTACCTACATTGGTATATATAGGCGGGTAAACCTTCGCCACTGTTACAAATTGTTTCTTACCAACAGATAACATGAAGACCATTGCAACGTTACTTTTAGGTAAGGCAGTTACGTTAGCTTTTATTTTTGTTTTTTGTACCTAACGAAACTGCAACGACAATAACTTTGTTTTATTTACTCAAGTCACTTTCATGGCTCTATCCTGGAGTGGCGGGGAAGCCCAGAATGGGAGTTGCGGTAATTGTTCGAATCAAGGGGAAATCGTTTGTGGTCATAATCCTATAAACAACGCATATGTAGAATTCACAAACGTTTGTTACATGAACCTATACAATTGTTTGACCGGAAACAGTAAGTATAGTAAAAGAAAGAGAAAGTAAAAGGAATATGTGAAAGAGAATGTGCTTTGAAAAATAACCAGAAAAATGAAATACAATCTTTTTGTAATGACGATACTAAAGCGGAACCCAATATTTTTTGCAGGGTACCATGTCGTCAGAGGTCGTTGTCCACGTAAGTCGGAATGCAAATTGTGTGACTTCTAAAATCTAAAACATTAGCCAAAATGACTAATAATTTCTCATCTTTTCACAGCTGTATCCCCGAGCTCTAATGAAACAGACACCTCTCTGATCGCCAGTGGTGATGGTCAGGAACGGATCAGATTATTTTGAAAACAAATTTTGGATGAAACTTAATACATATGTTCTATATGCAATAAATAAAAATATGTATTAGTTAATAAATTATTAAATTTACGTAAAATAGCTGTCATATTTATAAAGTTTTTTTTAAACATGTATGAACGCAATATAACGTTATATCAACGCTATTTCATGCATTCGTGCATTTATAAAAATGATCTGTAGTTTGGTAACGACACTACGGAAGCTATGACGTACTCCTACACGACAAAACTGCTGAAATAACTGCTGCCAAAGTTTGGAATTGCAGCAGTATGCAGCTACTGTATAATGTAATATTAATAAATTCGAAACTAATTAATTAAAATCTTCTAATCGTATACTAACCTTGCAGTCAATGGTTTTTGTATTTCTGTTTCTACTCATAATTTGTGACTAGATTTCACTCGTTTTAATTTTTCTATAGGTGGNCACGCTCCTCCGAGTTTTTTCAAATTTAACCTTCATTATGTTACTGGCAACGTCTTTTTTTTGGGAGCGTTTAAGATATTATCGAATTAAATCTAAATAAACATATAATTTTTAATTATCCAGACAAGGGGCTATTGTATTTATTATCAGTTGAAAGCCTGAACTACCTAGATTGGTATATATAAGCGGGTAAACCTTCGCCACTGTTACAAATTGTTTCTTATCAACAGATAACATGAAGACCATTGCAACGTTACTTTTAGGTAAGGCAGTTACGTTAGCTTTTATTTTTGTTTTTTGTACCTAACGAAACTGCAACGACAATAACTTTGTTTTATTTACTCAAGTCACTTTCATGGCTCTATCCTGGAGTGGCGGGGAAGCCCAGAATGGGAGTTGCGGTAATTGTTCGAATCAAGGGGAAATCGTTTGTGGTCATAATCCTATAAACAACGCATATGTAGAATTCACAAACGTTTGTTACATGAACCTATACAATTGTTTGACCGGAAACAGTAAGTATAGTAAAAGAAAGAGAAAGTAAAAGGAATATGTGGAAGGGAATGTGCTTTGAAAAATAACCAGAAAAATGAAATACAATCTTTTTGTAATGACGATACTAAAGCGGAACCTCAATATTTTTTGCAGACTACCAATTCGCCAGATACGGTCGTTGTCCACGTAAGTCGGAATGCAAATTGTGTGACTTCTAAAATCTAAAACATTACCCAAAATGACTAATAATTTCGCATCATTTTACAGGTAGTGATTCTGAATCCCCGAGCTCTAATGAAACAGACACCTCTGATCGCCAGTGGTGATGGTCAGGAATGGATCAGATTATTTTGAAAACAAATTTGGATGAAACTTAATACATATGTTCCATATGCAATAAATAAAAATATGTATTAGTTAATAAATTATTAAATTTACGTAAAATAGCTGTCATATTTATGAATTATTTTTTAAATAAGTATGAACGCAATATAACGTTATATCAACGCTATTTCATGCATTCGTGCATTTATAAAAATTATCTGTAGTTTGATAACGACACTACGGAAGCTATAACGTACTCCTACACGACAAAACTGCTGAAATAACTGCTGCCAAAGTTTGGAATTGCAGCAGCATGCAGCCACTGTATAACGTAATATTAATAAATTCGAAACTAATTAATTAAAATCTTCTAATCGTATACTAACCTTGCAGTCAATGGTTTTTGTATTTCTGTTTCTACTCATAATTTGTGACTAGATTTCACTCGTTTTAATTTTTCTATGGGTGGTCCGGACAGAGTATTTTGGTCTGACTAAAAGGTACCCTATGCCTTTTTCCATACCATTGACAATGTGTGTACCAAAAATGCATGATACGTTTTACCTGCGGCTTCGTTGTCGTCGATGTCCTAAATATGTGCTTTTGGGAGCGTTTAAGATATTATCGAATTAAATTTAAATAAACATTTAATTTTTAATTATCCAGGCAAGGGGCTATTGTATTTAATATCAGTTGAAAGCCTGAAGTACCTAAATTAATATATGTAAGCAGGTTAATCTTTGCGACTGTTATAACTCTTTTTAACAAGTAATATGAAGACTATTGCAACGTTACTTTTAGGTAAGGCAGTTACCTTAGCTTTTTTTTGTTTTTTGTACTTAACGAAACTTCAACGACAATAATTTTGCTTTATTTTACTCAAGTCGCTTTCATGGCTCTGTCCTGGAGCTGCGGGGAAGCCCAGAATTGTGCTACATGTACGGTACGCCTGATGGCAGAATTGTTTGTGGTCAAAATGAAAGAACCGGCGCTCTAGTGGCCTTCGGAAATGATTGTTACATGAAACGGTACAATTGTTTGACTGGAAACGGTGAGTAGCAAAATGAAAACAAAGTAAAGGGAATACGTGGAAGGGAATGTGTTTTGAAAAGTAACCAAAAAAAAATGAAATACTATCTCCTGAGGAAGTCTTTTTACAACGAAATACTAATGTAAAACCTCAATNTTCTTGCACCTAACGAAACTGCAACGACAATAATTTCGTTTTATTTTACTTAAGTCGCTTTCCTGGCTCTATTCTGGAGCTGCGGGGAAACCCAAAATGGTTCTTGTGGTGATTGTTCGATAAAGGTCCGACCTGCTTGTGCTCGTAATACTATAAATGGCGCTTACGTGGTGTTCACAAATAGTTGTTTCATCACACTATACAATTGTTTGACTGGCAACAGTGAGTAGGAAAATAGAAAGAACGTAAAGGGAATGTGCTTTGAAAAATGAAATATCATCTCCTACGAAAATTTTCTTACAATTACAATTCTCAATTAAAATCGCAATATTTTTTTGCAGACTACGTATACCAATATCCTGGAAATTGTACACGTAAGTCGGAATACAATTGTATGACTTTTGTGAAAACGATAAAAACTGAAACATTAGCCAAAATGACTAATAATTTCGCATCATTTTACAGATAGTCCTTTGTAAACTCGAGCTCTAATGAAACAGACACCTCTCTGATCGCCAGTGGTGATGGTNTTAACAACTCATGCATCAGCTAGAACTGTTACATATACGAATTTGTTCTAATTCATGTATATAGAGTGATGTGTACTAGTTTTCAATTAACCGAAACTTTAAAAAGGAACAATAACATATTAATAATAGGCTTTCGATGTTTAAATTGCACAGGTTGAAGTCGTATGTGTTGTGTATTTATTTTATGTATCCATATGACAATAGCAACTGAGAAATTTCGTTCGAACTTTGAAGTTTCGTCTCGCACGAATAACAAAAGACATTCTGTCTGAAGTTGGAATTGAACAAACGCGTTCGCTGTCATACAAACATACTATTTGGTACCTACTACGAAAATTGGAAGTGAATGTACAAACTAGGTACGTGTCGAAGATCATCGACGACTACGTAAAAGCAATTTTTTCTATTCCTCGGGAACTGCATTGTTTTTCTGGATAAAAAGTACCCAAATATGTCTTTCCTGTACCCCTGACAATGACACTGTTTGAGTAGTTAAGGCGTGAATTCATAATAAACGAAATATGTCACATTTGCATTTATAATATTAGTTAGGATTTACACGGCAAAACTGCTGAACTGCTGCTAAAGTTTTGAATTCCTGTTTTTTCTAGATGATAAAGAATGTAGCTTCTACAGGCGAAATAAAAAAGTCCATTTCCGACAAAAGTTACCGTGATGTGTCCTACACGCTCCTCCGAGTTTTTTCAAAATTTAACGTTCATTATGTAACTGAAAACGGTTTGTTTTTTTTGAGAATATTTAATACATTATCGAACCAAATTTACACAGAAACACTTAATTTTTAATTTTCCAGACAAGTGGGTATTGTATTTATTATCAGTTCAAAGCCTGAAGTACCTAAATTCGTATATATAAGCAGATAAACCTTTACCACTGTTACAAGTCCAAGTCCTTTCTTATCAACAGGTAATATGAATACGAGTTCAGTTTTACTTTTCGGTAAGGCATTTACTTTACCTTTTATTTTTGTTTCTTGTACCTAACGAAACTGCAACGACAATAATTTCGTTTTATTTTACTTAAGTCGCTTTCCTGGCTCTATTCTTGAGCTGCGGGGAAACCCAAGAACATTAACAATCAAAATCTAAAGAAAAACAGTCCATTTTGAATTTTCGAGTCAAATGTATTTATTATTTTATTACCAATTTAATATATCTTAAGTACATAAATTGGGGTAAATGAATTAGCTGGTATTTCGTATTTTGTAAATCCTCTTTTACAAAGAAATAATATGAAGACAATTTCAGCGTTACGCTTAAGTAATTCTTGGCTGTATCCTGGAGCTATAGTGAAACAGGATTCTTTGGGAAAGCCCAGGAACGTTCGGGTTCTACTGACGAATACGAACGTGTTTGTGGCATTAACGAAAGAGGCAATAGAGTAACTTTCCGAAATGTTTGTGAATTGGACGAAATGAATTGCGAGGAAAGGCAGGGTGTGATGTAAATATGAATAAGAAAACAAAAATACAAACCTGCTGAAATAACAGCCGTTAAAGTTTTGAACTCATGTTTCCGCTAAATGAAAGAGGATGTAGTCTCTACCGACGAAGTAAACCGGTTCAATTGCCTGAAAAGATTTTCGAAAAAGTTAACGCGACATGTTAAAAACACGGTCCCCCGAGTTTTTTCACATGTAACCTTCATTATGTAACTGACAACGTCTTTTTCTTGGAAGTATTTAAGTTATTATCAAGTCAAATGTAAATAGAAACACTTAATTTTTTTATTATCCAGACAAGGGGCTATTGTATTTATTATCAGTTCAAAGCCTGAAGTACCTAGATTGGTATATTTAAGCAGGTAAACCTTTGCAACTGTTACAAATTGTTTCTTATCGACAGATAACATGAAAACCATTGCAACGTTACTTTTAGGTAAGGCAGTTACTTTATTTTTTATTTTTGTTTTTTGTACCTAACGAAACTGCAACGACAATAACTTTGTTTTATTTTACTCAAGTCGCTTTTGTGGCTCTATCCTGGAGCTGCGGGGAAGCCCAGAATGGTTCTTGTGGTTATTGTTCGAATCAGAGGTTACTCGTTTGTGGTCATAATACTAAAAACAACGCATATATAGAATTCACAAACATTTGTAACATGAACCTGTACAATTGTTTGACCGGAAACAGTAAGTATAGTAAAAGAAAGAGAAAGTAAAAGGAATATGTGGAAGGGAATGTGCTTTGAAAAATAACCAGAAAAATGAAATACAATCTTTTTGTAATGACGATACTAAAGCGGAACCTCAATATTTTTTGCAGACTACCAATTGGTCAGATACGGTCGTTGTCCAGGTAAGTCGGAATGCAAATTGTGTGACTTCTAAAATCTAAAACATTTGCCAAAATGACTAATAATTTCGGATCATTTTCCAGGTCGTCCTTCTGATAACCCGAGCTCTAATGAAACAGACACCTCTGATCGCCAGTGGTGATGG